GAAGGCCTGGTGGGGAAAGAATGTCGCCCGTGTAAAACATTTTCACGCTTTGGAGGATGCTCCGCGGTTCTTTGAAAGCCATTGTATGCATTCAGTACTTAGTATTATGTACTTATTGCAAGATCCCGTGTCCTTTGAGCTAAGTTTATTGAGGTAGTATTTGTGATTTCTGAAAGGAAGTTTCGAGGTTGGATTACTCTTAGGAATGATGGGGTAATGCGGTGGTTGACACGGATTCATAGTCTTAGTCCCTTCACACCTTTTCCCTAAATGCAAGTTAGTAGAGTGACGTTGGTATCACGAAAACTAATTACTAATTAGTAATTAAAATCAAGATCAAGTAAAGAACAATGAAGTTCTGCTGTGCAGAATGCTAGATCTTCAAGAACGAAATCCTGATATGCTACTGTTAAGTCAGCCCTTCTGAAGCACTGCATCTAGAGGATCTCTATCTTCTTCCGCATCATCCCCAGATGTTTTCTTAACCCACTCACCGATGGATCTCAAACGGCTGAGCATTGAAAGCCATCACTGTTCGTATTCCAGCGAATCACTTCATTGGCGAGAGCGGCCGCAGATGAGTAGGCGTAAGTCTCCATTTTGGATGCCCTCGACAGTAACTGAAAGTAGTTTATTTAGTCTACTCATTATTAGACACTCTACTGAGCTATCGGGTGAATCAAACGTCTTCCTTGGCCGGAAGCCACATATTGCTTTGTACCAAGAATCTGCTGTAAACACTTTGGAAACCTTGTGTCAGTTTTTGAATAAGTCTGCCGAATCGAAACCGTGTGAATGGTAATGAAGGTGCTTGTATTGAAGGCATGCCCCAGGATCAAATTGGTGTATTTCCTGCACTTGAATGCTATTGTATTGGTGCGAAATAGGCCGGTAGTAAAGAAAAAAGGAAAACAGTCCGTTGGAAACGTTTAGGTTAGCTTAACGGCCCACTCGCTCTGGCAATGGGCCGCTGCGGATATGCCCGTCAGATCACAATTTACCAACGAGGGGGTCGTATTTTAATGTGTTGATGATGGTGACACTGGGGGTCATACATGAAATTTTCAAAAGTGTTTTTAGGGAATGGATGTGGGGAGGGGTCTCGGGCTGCGATGAGGGGGAAGGGGGAGAAATAATCCTTTTTTATGCTTTTAATAGAAATTTCAGAAATGATGGACGAAATGGACAAAAGTAGAGTACTTACTGTTTCGAAAACTATCCACAGTTACGGTTTTTCCCTGTCACTCTCAATTTTTGCATTTTCCCCACATCGCGGTTAGCCCTGCTCCCGCTGATTGGTCTACCAAAGAACATTAACCTTCGACCATATGGTTCATTTGATATCACCTTACACATATGATGTCAGTTTTGGTGTGAGTTCCAAATTTTCGGGGATCATTTTGACCACGATGACGCAACGGCCATTCGCAGCACCTCGCAGGAACCATTTGATTCAAATCAAAAATTCCAGTTTACCTTTCCAGAAACTTGTGTGGCTCCTAGTAGTAGCGGTACCGTGGTGAGCATGACTAATGTCATCCTCCAGCTGAAATGATACTTTCATTGATTGACTAAAAAGTAAGACGGAAACCATGTGCCTGTTAAACCTAAATAATGAGACCACGATTTTTGTATTTTAGGTGTGATGAGTCTGTGGCAGTTATGTAGGGCCGGAAGTCTTGTTTGGGTAACAACTCGTGAATCGAAACTGCAGGAGTCAGCTTGAAGGATGCACCCATTAAATTCAAATCCAGTAATCAAATAAAATGCAGACAATTGCATAAGTTCTTCGTTTCGCACATTACTCAAACAAATCATCGTTGGTTGTTCAACTTTTGAGGGCAATACGTGGGGCTTTGAGAGAACTGAAAAAGATGGTGACTTTCTCTTCCCGACTCCTGATGAACCTCGGCCTTATTGGTTATGAGTAAAAACTGCTTTGTTGACATTGTAGGCGACATTGTTACTAACACTTTTTGGCTAGTTACGGCATGTTCGCCATTGTCAGAGCCTAAAAGGATCGCGGGGTAGCGCTAGGGGCTACGGATGCCATGTTACTACACGTGCCGCCGCACATGCCGCCCGTGATCGAGTGGTGTGTTGTTTTTCGCCGGTGAATAAGCCAGAAATACGAGGAAAACAGACCGCGAAGAAAATGCAAACGTAACCATTAAACCAGACATTGAGAGCCACTTTTAAATTGAGTTCGACCGCGCTATGAAGAAAAGACCAAGCGCGGCGAGGAGGGGTAGTATACTAGATAGCATGCCGTACGAGAGGACTGACGCGGTGTATGCTACAAAACAGTGGAATGGCAGCAGTCAAGGCAAGGCCTTGGCGCCCCTGTCACTCACCTTCAAGGCGTCACACGGTGACAGTGCCACGACTCCTCTGCTCGAAGGCGTAGTCCGCAATTAAATAGTGAAGCAGGAATGAAAGGGGACCCTTTTTGCCTTGTCGGCGTGGTACGTGCCTGCAGCGTGCTCACAACTGACCAACGCATTCCTCCTGCAATGTGCCGGCTAGAGTCAGGCGGGGAGGGATTGAACGGGAGCGGCAAGGGTATGATCATGCTGGAGGCCTTTCGCTGCGGAACCCTCCATCGTCCCACCCTTCAAGGCAGTCTGCCTTTCGACTAGGTGTACAGGTGTGGCCAAAAAAAAAGAGACACTTTGCCATGGCGCACTTCATCGAACTTTTCGTCGCACAGAGTGCCGATGTTAGTGAAAGTTTTACGGCGTAATATTCCTATAGGTGTTCCCCCGTAAGCAGAAGCAGCCCTCCTTCACTGTCCCCGCCGTCTCCAGAATATGACGTCATCTGCCGCCACCGTCGAGCTCAACGAGGCTTACCGTAATCGCTCCGGCCTGAAGCTGCTTCATAATTTCTTCAATGGATTGACGATTAAATAGCTTCCTAGAGACATTAGCTGTGACTATGCAAAACCGCTTTTGACCAGCGTTTCAGGGACGTCGTAATGGTCTATGGTACCTCGACGACCCCGTTGAGCTCGTACCGCGAACCATGTTTCCGTGGGAAAATCTTCTGATGTCGTCGGTGTAGAAGGCTGTCATGTAATTTAGATAGATTAGAATGTGCTCTTCAATACTGAGTTGGGGGCAGTCGATTTGATTCTAGCAAAGTGTGATTAATGCTGTCTGAAATGTGGAGTCAAGTGTCTCTTTTTTTGGCCACCCCTGTATATTACTTCTTCGACCACTACCTTGTCGTGGAATGCTCTTTTGAGGACCATGGTAATTCATGGGAAGAACGGCTGTATGGATCTAATCGTGTCCCGTGACTTCACGTTCCTAGATAATTATACCGGTGATGGCTTAATATTTCACAACATAGTTGCCTTTTTTACGTTTCTATGTACAAGACACACTGTTCGTTCATTGCTAGTCCTGCTAGGCCGCTCTTGATTACATTATGAATTATTATGAGGCAAAATAGCTCACCTGAGATAGAAACCGAGTGAGTTTCCACCGACAAAACTTCCGAAGGCTCCGAGGATCAGTCCAAGTTTGTCTCCAATACCATCCTTTATTCGCTCCATACCGCTTGAAATGCGCGATATAAGAAGGCATGATCATGTTGGACTTTTTTCAATTTTCACGCTTAAAATTTCTCCCACATTTGATTCAGGATGCCGGTAATGAGTACAAGGCAATTGTATAAGCCAATTTTTCTCAGAACAAAAGGTTGCTATAATCTTTTTTGTGTTTTTCGGAGGGCAGAATTCTCTACTTTGCTTTGAAAGCGAATTTGTGATCTGTGGTTTTGTATTCAGAAGTGAAAGGTAGGGGATTTGTTAAGCACAGATAGAAATGAGGAGGAAATACCCTGGATTGTATGCGCTTCAAACGCGCAAATGCCCCGTGTTTTCGGAACGTTAGGTAGAGAGGTATTTTAAATGACCTACTCCTAGACAATTTGCATGCCAACCTGCTCATCTTCATGGTAAGCGCTCCAGTTTGCTGTTGATCGAACCATGTCATGTCCTGGCGCATCACTGCTCGAAGGTATTTAGCTCGAATAGAGTGCACTCGCCGCTCGCACATCGTATATAGACTCGCGTTCTGCAGACAAACTGCGTTTAAAAAATGAAATAATTATGAGCATATAGGACCACAACACTTGCTAGCT